ATGAAGGATGACTTTGGTTGTTTACTTAAGGTTTTATTAAAACAGCTAGGATAAGCTTTTCTGCTATTGTTGAGTCTGTTGGCTGTGATCAAGATACGATCAACTTTACTCATAAGCTATGTACCATGCAAAAAATGTGCATGAATAGGAAGGTGGTAAATGTTTCTTTCATGATTTAACTGTTTGTGATTGTGGAAAATATACAAAAGGTGACATTACATGTCAAGGTAAGCCAACAAAACAAAAAATGTTTTAAGTTGCCCGTTCCATAGTCTTGCATATGAAATTGCATGTGAAGCTGCTTTTGCTAAATCAAAACAAATTATTCATGAGGAGTTAGGGTGTTGCCACACTAGTATAATTGAATCATCTCAATGTATTGCTGCAGTTTAGAACAAAGAATTTAAATCTACAGATGCTTCACTACTATGCATTTAACATCATGCTGCTTGACTCTTAAAAGAGACTTAAACCTAGAAACATTTAATGCCTTTAATGCGTCAGCCATACCATCAGATCTGGGTAAGATCATTCTATCATAAAGATCAAGTAACCAATGGTAAGCTGGCCCTTTGTGCACATACATCCAGGACATGTTACTTTGTATAAGCCCAAGAGAAGAGCAAGAAAAAGGCATGGGCAATCTGAACAAGTTGCACGTAAATTATGGGTTCAGCAACATAAGACATGTCACACATATGGTAAGGAAACACCCAAATCATCTCATAAAAGAAAAGCAAAATGAGATTGGAAGATTAGTAATACAAAAAGAGGTAAATTAAGTATAACTAATTTTGATCAAGATTTAGGTAGTGAGTGTAGCTTATTAGCTACAGAGTCTGTGCATAAAAGTATAACAAATGATAAGGTAATTGATCAGGGCAAATTAATATTTGATGATGATGATGATGAAAGCTTATTTTCTAGTTCTGATGGTAATGATGGTAGCATTTTGAATAGCTCTGGTATTGATAGTGATTTGGAAGAGTTTATAATCAGTAATGTTAAATGTACTTGCAGTATTGAAAAATCTTCACACCAACGATCATGTCCACTGAATCCTAGAAACCGAGGGAAGTCTCCTGATGTTGAATATATTAAATCTGAAGATGCAATGCCTCAAGCAATAGGAAAAACACCTGCCACAGAATGGAAAAATTCTGCTGCTTTATTGATACAGGATTATACTGGGGAGACTGTTAGCGTAGGTACTGATCCACTTAAAACTATTAAACATGCTGAAATATCTCCTTATATCTGTCATAAAATAAAGGAGATGGCAACTATTTTTACCGAGCAATTTCTAAAGCTGTAACTGGGACTGAAAGAAATCATATGCTAATTAGATTAACTATTTGTACTTTTATGACAAACAATGTCTTAGAATTATCAAATTTAGTTTGGCCACACATGCCAAATATTACTTGTGAAAATGCTGCAAATGCAATGAGGGTACATTTGTTGCATAAAGAATTAAGCCAATTTGGTACATGGGCTACTGAGAATGAATTTTTTATTGCTGCAACTGTATTTCAATTAAAGATTCATATTTCAATACTGTCAACACAAAAGAAAGCCCATTCTTGGTATACATTTAAATCATTGTTTCATAATGAAAGCTGTCATTACTTATCCAAGTTTAATGTATACCTATTTCATCACTATGAATTGGTTGACTTGAACCTCACATAGTGTTAACAATTTTTAGTCAATTGATGATTGTAATATTGTAGCAATTAATTTATTTCAGTACATCTCAAACATTACCAGCAATGACATTACTTCAGCTATAAAGGTAAATAACTAGACACATACATTTCTCATGTTCATTTCTCATTTAAGGTTGGGCAGCAATATACAGTACTACCTCCACATGGTGCTGCCTAGGGTCTCTAGTATTAATTATAACCTAGAGATGCTAAATGTACTGTGACATGCACTAATTTTTTTAACCCTTGTATGTTAACAGTTCCAGCAATATTTAACACTGAGTTGTTGGTTACCAGTTTTGCATTTATAGGCGAAGTACTTATATAGGTGGTGAAACTTATAGTATGGCAATGTATAGGTCAAATTATTTAATACCACAGGAATCTGAGAAGTAGAATGCAACAATTTCTGAAGCAGTTACACCATTTTCTTTTCTTTCATTAAAGCAACATACATGTAGGTATGGCTATAATAAGCAAGGAGATAAGTAAAATAATTTTATTTGTTCTCTAAAATGACGTTTGTGACAGACAACATACTGTCACAGATCATTTTCAATGAGTTGACATCTAATACATTTATAAACTGCGACATCTCCACTCCCTGCTCCCAACAGATACAGTAGCAGAACCATAGCATAGCAAAATCTAGAAAAAGTAATTCATGACATACAATTACATTACCATAGTTTACTTGATTTCCTTCCATAAATAATCCCAATTGATATTGGTCATTGTCAGATACGCTTTGTATCATCACACCCAGCATATAGAATAGTAACTGACCCACATCACTTTGTTGAAGTATTGTTGATGGGTATTCTTTCATTACTTTATCCTAAAGACAAAAATAAGTAAGTAAAAAAAAATGTCATACCTCTGCTGTATCAATGGTGAACATGCGGCAGTTCATTAAGACAACATCCGGGACACCCTAAAGAAAGAATAAAGATTGATAAACATAGGGGCAACCAATTCACTACAAGGAGAATCTGGTCCTGTGTACATGATACAATAGCTGGCCTGACTGTATCTATAAAAAAGTAAAAAAGCAATCCTGAAAAAAAATGTGAAGTAATTATAGGGAATATCAGATTAGTATTTTGAGCGTGTACCCTTGCAACAATAAAATTACAATTTGCTTGGTTAGAATTGTCACATAGCTAAGGTTGCTGTGGCCAAAATGTTCCATAAAAATTATTCATTTTCAAAGTGGCAAATCTCCCAATACCTCACATACACTGCGTATCATACAATAGAATGTTCTAGAATGAGGAAAGAGCATGTTTAGAGAGTAGGGTGATTATTTAGTGTTAGAAATTAAATAGTGAGTAGCTAACGGCTAGTGTGAGACATTAAATAGTAGGACTAGGACAAACTTAAAGCTTCCAAAGGTTTGAAGTTTGGTTGGAAGTGCTGCATTTGAAACAGAAAATAAGACTTTGAAGCTCCATTATTAGTAGTTATTAATAGTTAAAGTGATTAAAAGTTTACATAGGGATTGTCTACCCAGACCACAACTTTATATAGTAGGCTGAACTATGACTGACAGTATAAACAGAGGCGGGTGATAATTTTTGATGTACAATAAACCTTCAAAGGCTTCAAAATTTTTTAATGTAGAAGCTTGAAGGTTGCAAATGACCTTAGTCTCAGACCTATTAAATAACGAATAGCTAAGGACATTAAATAGTGAGTAGCTAAGGCTAGTGTGAGACATTAAAAAGTGAGTAGCTAAGGGCCAGTGTGAGACATTAAATAGTGAGTAGCTAAGGGCTTGTGAGACATTAAATAGTGAGTAGCTAAGGGCTAGTGTGAGACATTAAATATTGAGTAGCTAAGGGCTAGTGAGACATTAAAAAGTGAGTAGCTAAGGGCTAGTGAAAGACATTAAATAGTGAGTAGCTAAGGGCTAGAGTGAGACACAAAATAGTGAGTAGCTAAGGGCTACTGTGAGACATGAGTAGCTAAGGGCTAGTGTGAGACATTAAATAGTGAGTAGCTAAGGGCTAGTGAGATATTAAAAAGTGAGTAGCTAAGGGCTAGTGAAAGACATTAAATAGTGAGTAGCTAAGGGCTAGAGAGAGACACAAAATAGTGAGTAGCTAAGGGCTACTGTGAGACATGAGTGGCTAAGGCTAGTGTGAGACATTAAATAGTGAGTAGCTAAGGGCTAGTGTGAGACATTAAATAGTGAGTAGCTAAGGGCTAGTGTGAGACATTAAATAGTGACTAGCTAATGGCTAGTGTGAGACGTTAAATAGTGAGTAGCTAAGGCCTAGCATACTGAAACAGAAAGATACACAGACACATGGAATTATTAATTCACATCTTACTATCATCTGCATCCGTGTCCATTGTCTCATCTGTCTTATCTGAAGAAGATTCGAGCCCTTCATAGTTATCCACAGGGACACTGCATTTTGTCCTACTCCTAGCTCTTTTTGGACTCCGGCAGTGGTCGCTTCATGAGCAAGAATCGAAAAGTGGCTGTGGAATCTTCTGCTGCTGGAAATTGTGAACCTCAAACCCTCTAATATCATGCTCAGACTTGGGGCTCAGACTAAAAAAGTAGATAAGCAAAAAAATACTATTGGAACTTACACATCACAATGCGTGGCATGGGGTACTCATAAGGAATATGTCTTGATGAACTCAAGCAATAGTCTAGTGAATGCCTTTGAGAAGCTGTTATCAGATCTGTTCACAATCATGCTCTTTAATGAAGTTGCCACACCTTTTATTTCAAATGGCTAGGACAAAATAGTTAATGCACAAGGTAAAATACAAAAACATACAATATCTGAAGGCACATCACATGTCTTTAAATCTGCCCATGACACTTTTGACGACAAGGGTAGTAGCAAATTAGCTGCTTTTACTTCTGCACACCTACAAATGGAATATGAACAAAATGGCACTTCATGTACAATCCACATAATCCAAATTAATAGTTATTAAATGACTACAGATTCTCAGACTACAGCAATGACAACAAACCTCGTACAGTGCAATGGCCGGGTAAATGGGATGTGTTCTTTTATATCCTCTACCACCCTCACACTACCAGTAACACAAAAACCCTTATACTGTAAGAGAGATTACTCAAACCACCCATTAAATGATGTAAATCTTCTGTATGAAGATGCAGCTACAGATGGTACTATATTATAAGCAAAAGATGTTCAAATGTACAAACAAATGCCTATAGTCATTCATACTCGTTTTATTTCTCTTATGAGATCTGTCTTTGTCTGTTTTCCAGCAATGAACCCTCTTCATTGCATTAGCTTTAAAAATGCATAGTATATATAATTAAACAATTTAATGAACTCTCACTTTCTTTGAGAAGTGCTAACCTCTTGATCACTATAATAATAAATTAATAATTAAAACACAAACCTATACAAAAATGAACCTTCTGGATTGATGCATGGACAGCACAAATTAACTAACACAAAATATCTGTAAATAAAGCACAAGATATGATAGGTAAAGCCACAAAAATTATTAAAATGTTTGAACTGCATTTTGATATTACTGTAGGCCGATTTAGATTAGCAAATTTTTCCCACCCCTAACAACTGCTATAGGAACCGGGTACTATTTTAATTTAAAATGGCGCAGTATCAAAACACAGCAACAGACCACAGTGTTCTGGAGTTGCTATTCTTCTTGCTGTTACTAATCCTTGGCTGCTTCTCTACCCACTCTGTCATGCTGTTTCTTGGGAGTTTATACCCATTCTAGTTAGTGCTTATAATTGACTTGGGGGAGCCTGGTTTATAATTATAATTGACCGACCAGCACCAATTATACAGTAAGTACAAGATATGGCTCCACTATTGCCGCTAAAGAAATGATTAGCTGCTGAACACTGTAATTGTATAAACAAGTGTGCAATTGTCATAGTTGGCAAGGTTCAATAGGTTTCCAAGGCATTCAATTGAACTTCTTATTAGTTTTTATTGTCATGAATAATTATAAATCATCCTATGGTATTATTATGCTGCTCATATCAAAAATCAGCTTGCTTCCTGGCAAGGGGCCTTAACAGCTCATGCTCTGTCTTGTACCTTGTGTAAGTCTTGACGGCAGCAACAGCTCTGTCACTCTTGTACCTTTAGAGAGAGAATTAAAAGCATGATATATAGTGCCATTACTAGATTGAAAACCTAGATTACCTGCCAAGTTGGGTAAGTCTTTAGTCAGAGTTGACGACGGCAACAAGTCCAGCTCAGTTGCTCTTGTACCTCGGGTAAGTTTTGACTAGTCAAGAGTCGGCGGTGGCAACCACTGCAGCTCTGTCACTCTTGTACCTTTAGAGAGAAAATTAAAAGCAGGATATATAGTGTCATTACTAGATTGAAAACCTAGATTACCTGCCAAGTAGGGTAAGTCTTTAGTCAGAGTCGACAGCAGCAACAGCTCCAGCTCCGTCGCTCTTGTACCTCGGGTAAGTCTTGACTGGTCAGAGTCGATGGCAGCAACCGCTCCAGCTCTGTCGCTCTCGTACCTATTTAGAAAAATGGGAGAGAAGAAATAAAACAAGTGACAGGATTAGTTAAGCCCACCTGAATATGACTTCTCTTCTAATCAGTCTCGTGGGGAGACTAGGTATAGTCTGGGTTTGGTGGTTCGAGAGAATAGCTCAAGCAAAACAAGGACCTTCTTCTTTGACGAGAAGGCAAGCAGTGAGCAGTCAAGCACATGTACTCAGACACCAATCACGTGATTAAGTCATATTGTAATGGTCGGGATTGCACACTAATGAGTAAAAATGTAAAAAGTATTTTTAATAATAATTATACAAATGTAAATATTTAACAACTTTTAGACTGTACAAAATTTATGATAATTTGTTTATGTCTAGAAAAAAAATGGCAAATTACTAACACCTAGTTCTGCACCCTTCAAAGTATTAGACTAGTGATAATTAATTGATACTGGAAGGTAGACACACCTCTAAGGTAGCATGTGCGTTTAGACCTTGATGGAATGGCTTGTAGAAAAAGTTGTGATTCCAGATGGCGATGGAAGACGCAGTGAAGATAGGTGAAGATGTAAGAAGTGGTCTAAGACAGGCAACAAAAGTGTATAACATGCCCGTAGAAACATTAAAAAGGTGAGTCAATGGCACTGTAAAAGTGAATTGTAAACCTTGCCCCCCAACTGGCCTGACCAAAAAGAAGGAAGACATGGTTTATAATTATCTTGTTCAGATGTCTGACATGGGATACAGATTATCACGGGAAACGGTGATAAGCATTGCCTATAAAGTAGCAGAGAAACTGAAAAAACATCATTCAATCACAAGAGAATCTGCAGGTTGTTCATGGCTGGATGGTTTTAGATGCCATCATCCAAGCATCACCCTTTAAACACTGCTCTTTCTTTCATATAACAGAGCTGTCAGCTTATATTGATACTGTGAATAATTTTTTTGGAACATTATAGGAATATAAGGCAGGCTAAATTTGATACTTAATCCTATGTGCATGTTTATGCAGACCAGTCTCGTGTGTCTATTGTTTATTGGCCAGGGAAAGTTTTAACGCAGTTGCGCCGTAAGACTGTTTACTCTATATCATCTGCAGAGGAGGAAAACACATACTATTTTGGCGTTTTAAAGAGACAAATAGCAGTCTAGTACAAGTATGATTGTTTCTATCTAGGATGTAAAAAGTTGTGTAGACACAAGTACATGTATGTGTTTTATTGTAGCTTACCTTCTTTTATTTTTACTTTGTTGTTCTCTATAGTTATAAAATAATGATGGGCAGTGTACTCAGAGCCTGAAATTACAGTCGGACATTGGACATTTTCCGACCATTTTGCTCAAATGTTTGACCAAATACTGTGTTGTTCTGCAATTATGTCTGAACAACAAAATTTTCATTAGCAAAACAAAATTTAAGTAATTAATAAATTACGAGAGTATACGGATTAACCACATTTTAAAATGGCAACTGGCAGCAGGAGAGCAAAGTATGATACTTACCTGAACTGGAAGAGGAACTACAACAAGCAGATACAAACAATGACATGGCTGGATTGTGATGTAACTTCAGCGGCTGGTGTGAAGCATGTTAGTAAGCTGAAATGTCGCGTGTGCACTAAATACAAGGACAAAATTGCAGGCAGGAAAAATTTTAGTGATAAATAGATAAGTGGTGCTCACTTTGTAAGAACAACTAACGTTGTTGACGACGCAAAGTCAGACCAACATCTACATGCCATGAATATTCTGAAAAAAGAGGCAGCTAAGGTACAAGGAGCAAGTGCTACTTCTTTTGCACCAATTGCTCAATCTTTGAGTTGTGTATCTAATAGTGAGAGGGAGCATCTCAGAAGAAAGTTTTAAATAGCGTACTTTATAGCAACAGAGCAGCTCTCATTTCAGAAATATTCAGATTTGTGAGCTTGAAACAAGACATGGTGTTACTTTGGGAAGTGCATATTTATATAAGAATGCTGCCAAAGAAATTACTCACTACCTAGCAACAGCATATCAACAGAAGTTGATTAACAACATGTCTTTTGCACTGTACCTATCATTGTTGTTGGATAGCTCTACTAATAAACAAAACTTTCGACAATTAACAGTTATTAGTCTTATGGTGTGACAGATAGCTCAGACGAGAAGATTCACACCAGAATGAGTTTCCTTTGTCTACATAAGCCTCAACAATGAACTGCTGCTGGCACTTTTGAGAGCCTGAAGCATGGTTTAAATTGTCTAGGATTTCAGTCATTCACCAAAGACAGCTGTTTTAAGTTAGTTGGGATAGCTATAGATGGAGCAGCAGTAAATCCTGCTGATGAAGTGTTGAAGGGACTAGTTGAAGAGGAATTGGAATCGATTTTTTGGATGTGGTGCTTAGCACACAGACTTGAACTAGCAATTAAAGATTGTCTGAAACATAATTCGTTCGATTTAATTGCTGAGATGCTCCTAAGGCTCAATTATGTGTATGATAAGTGACTGAAGAAGTGCCAAGAGCGAGAGAATATTGTTAACGATTTAAAGGATGCATTTCAACTCAATCACGTTCAAGGTAATGGTGGATTGAGAACTATTCGTGCATGTAGAACCTATTGGGTAACGCATAAGTTAAGTGCAATGAAGAAAGTTCTTTCTAAGTTTGGTGCCTATGCTTCACACCTTACCACTCTTTCTGATGATTCGTCCCTTAAGTCAGCTGACAGGTGTAAGTTTCGAGGTAATCTAAGAAAGTGGACGGATGCAAAGGATTTCTTAGGTTGTGCATTGTTTGTTGACTCGCTGACTTCTTCTATTATTCTATAATCTACGCAAGCTGATGAGTTGGATATACTTGCTGCACTTGACTACCTCATTAGATCACTGAAGAAGATAAACAAGCTCCATTCTTTTCAGTGGCCTACCTATTCTGGCACTATTAGCAAAATTGAATTATATAAAGAAGGACAGAACATTTATCAAGGTCAAGTTATAGGGAGATTACTAGAAGCCGAAGGACAATTTTAAAATTTCTATCAAGAGTACTGCCTGGCAATTATTGAGAACATTTGTTCAAGATTATCATGGTGTAATCTTCAAATATTTCATGACATCATCTTTGTCCTTGCTACACAAGGATGGCAGAAAATTTTAGAGGAATATGAAAGTAATCTTAGCGCATCATCTGTTAGCAATAGTCTCTTAAGCCCAATCAATAGGCTCACAGATCACTTCAAGTTTCCACTAGAAAGGTCAGGAGTACTTGTAATTGAAATCAAGAAGAATTCGCATCAATACTTTCCTATGCTAATTAGTTTATTTCTTTGTCAACTAGGGGGTATCAGGCTGTATGGTGAGGTTATTTCACTCACCAAAAACTCATCAGAGTGGCTAAATGTTCTAAGTCTCGTCAAACTGCTTTTCTCTTTACCTGTATCAAATGGTAAACTTAAGCATAACTTTTCACAAGTTAATATCATGAAGCACCATACATGCATCAGTAACGGATGGGGCAAAGTATATTGGTACTTGTACTTAAGTACACTTAAGTGTAGTCTTCAGAGTACTTGGACTGTACTTAAGTCCTTTTTACAATAACTGCCTGTACTTGTACTTATACTTAAGTACTTAACATAGTACTTATTGGTACTTCAGTACATAAAAGTATGATAGTACTGTAAAAACTGTGACACTTGCTACTGTTAAACTGTCACTGCTGAGTGACGGTGTTTGTGGTAATGTGAGAACTCATTATTGTAACTATATTAAGCTTTGAGTGACTGTTATGTCATAGCCCAAAAAAGCCAAATCCTTGTTTAGTTTAATGCCATCAGAGTCTTCTGCAGTTGTGATAGCTGGTTCAGATACTATATCTACTAATGTAGATGCTTATTTGGAAGCACCAGCCCAACCCATCAAAACTTGATGTTTTGGGATAATAATTCAAAGAAATACCCGTTATTGGCAGTGCTAGCTAAAGAAACTCTATCTGTACCATCTTCATCTTCTCCAGTTGAGTGACTTTTTACCATTGCTGGAAAGATATTTAGACCAGAAAGATGTAACTTACGTGACAACAAATTTCAACAATTAATGTTTATTCGTTTGCACAACACACCTGTAAACTTCTTCAATCAAGTAATACTTAACAATTCATTTTACTGTAATCTTTGTAGTACTTCACCTGTACTTAAGTACTTTTTCATGTACTTGAAAATGTAATTAAGTACTTTTGCTAAAAAGCATATGTACTTGTATTTGTACTTAAGTACCACTGTAAAGTACTTGTACTTTACTTAAGTACTTCTAAATGTACTTCGCCCCATCCCTGAAATTCAGTAACCTGGATATAATACACACTATTTATAGAGTCTATCAGTTTTAACCAATATTCAGCTGATCCATGCAATTTTGTTAGGAGAGAAGGGGAAGATCTGAGTGTCATTGTAGTCTACGTGGACAATCTGATAGCTAAAAAACATGAAAATAAATACCTGATTGCCTCAAAGTTTTGTAAGTAGATGTGAATGACACTGAAGACGTAGTGGCTTGTTTTTCTGACTGACACGGGCCAAAAGGAAAATTACAAAATTGATAATTGAATTCTTCCAAAGTAAAGTACTTCCTTTCATGAATAACAGTAGCAAGTAATAGGTTTACAGAAAATGGTGCCACTCCTTCTAAAATGTCATAAATGCAGTCAAGTGGTAATCCATCAGCACAATGAAAAAACTTTGATGCATTGAAAATGGAGTTTTTGGCGATACCGTACGTTATTGCAAAGTGGTCTTGTAACAGACTGCCATGATACTCAAGAGTGCTTCATGTAGGAATGACGATTTCTCAGTGAACAGATTTGTTTATCAAAAAGTTGCATTATTCTATAAATTTCGAGTGGATAAAATTTTGCGGATAATCATAAAAGGCATGGTCAGTAAAGTCACGTGATGTAATAATTATTGCACGCGGAGCAGCATGGAGGACCAGGCTTTCTCTTTCAAGCAATGATAGAGGCAATGACGTATACAAAAAGATTTGGCATGCCGTTACAGGAGAATGTCTTGAGTGCAAAAGAGAAAGGAGCAACTGGTTCAATCCTTTTACTGTTTCCATAATGAAACAAGGCACTGTTGTCGGACACCTTCCAAGGAAAATGTCAGCTGCCTGTTCTTAATTTTTGATGAGAAATGGTACAATATTCTGCCACGTTTCTGGCACTAGAAGATATTCTAGCAAT